AGAATCCATCTTGTGTTTTAGTATTTTCTTGTATTGTTCTCTTGCCAGTGAAAGATGCTATAGAAATAAACTGAATAGAATCCATCTTGTGTTTTAGTATTTTCTTTGTGAAGCATCTTGTATTGTTCTCTTGCCAGTGAAAGATGCTATAGAAATAAACTTGACTTACTAACTTACTTCCAGTGAAAAGGTTTGGATTAAAGTCTTTGTTTTAGGATTAGAGTTAAGATCTAAACCAGATTAAGAATCTGTGACCAGATTTTAAAGCTGATGTTCAGCTCTGCTCCCCATCCAGTCGGTAAAAGCTTCTGCTGTTTTAATTGTATTGGGGGAAAACCTCCAGTCACTGGATGGTCAAATGACAGGAAACTGCAGCGTCTATTTAACCCAATATAGTCTAAATATTTCTGTTATATGTGGATTTATCCTCTGTTTTCTTTTGAAGATATAGAATTGTGTAGAGGTAAAACCCACTCTTATATTTTTATGTAATATGCTCTCTCTTTATCAAGAAAAATAATACATTCAAGGGACGGCAAATAAATGTATTGTATTTCCATGAGCACTGGAACTATAAAAGGAACTGACACTGAGCATTTTGAAATATTAACTTCACTATACAAGTTGTACATCTGGGCTGCAATTACACTGTGCAGCACATTTAGTGTATTTTATCTTGGGCTGAAACAATTAATCATATTAATCGATTATTTAAATAATCGTTAACTAATTTAGTAATTGATTGTTTACTGGAGTATAAGGTCAATAAAATGTAACTTTAGCTAACAGAGCGACCCATTTAGAGCAGGAATTATATCAAGATTGTGAAAAAAATATGTAAACATTTTGCATTTAAGGTAAAAAAAAAAAGTTTTTGACTGTCAATATTCTCCATCCAGAACTCCTCAAGAGGAAAACATTTCTGTTTCTCCTGGTTTCATTTCTTAAAAAATCTTCTCGTAAAATATCTAATTATACATCGATTCGTCAAAAAAATAATCGACAGATTAATCAATTTGCAGAATAATTATTAGTTGCAGCCCTAATTTTATGGTAACTTTCCAAACACGTTTCTTCCATAATACAGCACTAAGGGGCAGCTGCTTCACCCTGAGGCTGCCCTGCAGCATTATATCTGTTTCCTACAATCATATAATGTTTCTGTTATAAAAGTGTGTTTTTAATAGTAAAGGATTTAACGTAACAGAACCTTTCATCATTATCCTATATTGTTTAAATAGCTCCTTATGTCTATTTTCTTTTTTAGTGGCATCATCTACAAACACAACACTAAGAATGAGTTTATTCAAATATAAAATCCCATCTAACAATTATAAAAGACAATATAACATTATCTTATCTGTAATTTAATAGTATCCAAAATAAACAGCCAGATTCAAGCATTATTTATCAAACATTAATGTTTGTACTAATTTATTTATGGACCGTGTGGAAATCTA